TTAGCCAAACGAAGCACATCACTGAGGTGTCGCTGGGACAACACAATACCATTAGAATGATGTAGCGACGCTGGAAAAACTTCAACACCCAAAAAATAACTCAACTTGCCGAGATCCTGAATAGCAAACTCCTGACTAAGAGAAGACACAATAGAGTGAACAAAGAAGCCTGATTACCAGTGGTAATAAGATCATCAACATAAACCAAAATGAAACACACACAACCACCTTTTGAGTATATAAACAAGGAAGGTTCAAACCGAGACTCGACAAAACCAAGAGTGACATGCTCCATCCATTGTTTAGCACCAGTTGGTGGAGTTACTAACCATTGCAACCCTCCTGGTCCTTATGCTGCCACTAAAGTCAATTAATGTGCTATAAAATATACCTTCCAAAACACGTCTTATCTCACTTACCCAGTCTTGATTCAGTAACTCTGGAATTCTACGGATAATTCCTACAGTAACTCTTAGAACCTTCTTAGATCCCTTCATTATGGTAATAATGCTTGTGTTGTCTACCCCTACAATCACGTTCCACCCTCAAGTGTCTATGTAAGAGTCAATGCCTGAAAAAGGGCCCATAATTCCGCTCTTGTTATAATACGGAAGCTAATATTCATTGTATATCCACTCCACCTAATTCCACAACAATATTCATTGTAGATCACCGTCCAAATTATGACTTAACTGGGTTGTAGGACTAATATAAGCAAACTATAAATGCAAAATCTAAGGCTCTAATTTACTTTTGTGTGTGTTAAGACTGGGGACCAAAGTGTTTGTGATCGTCAGTTTATATACATGTTATCCATGTTTGATGATAGTAGACAGTGCAAGAAATTGGGTCTTTCGGCTAAAAAAATTAAAAAGAATTGATGTGGACAAAAAAAAAAATCCGATTTGGTAAATCCGAGAGTCTAATAAATTGGACTTTCGGATTTCGGAAATCCGAATCAAGATAAAATAATAAATTATTCTATTTTTGTAATTTTGAAAAAAAAAAGGACCAAGGTCAAAATGTGTACAGTAAACTCGGATTTCCGAAATCCGAGTGCTTCCCCAACATAATTTTTTTTAAAAAAAAACTGAAGGACGGGAAAATTTAAAATTTTATTTATAGTGAGAAAGTTTAAAAATTTAATAAATGAACAGTGAAATCGGATTTCAGAAATCCAAACTACCTTTTTTTAAAAAAAAAATCTTTTAGTGTAAAAAAACTTTAAAAATTCGAGTTTTGATAAGAACTCGCATTAAATTGACATATCCACTTTTAAAAAAATAAAAAATAAAAAATATTGTATTAGATATGGTATTAATAAAATCTTTTATTACTAATAATTACTAGGAATTTATATTAAATTAATGAAAAATATATATCACTAATGTTATGTAGTATTATTAAATTTTGTAGGAATTTGAATTAAATTAATTCAGTATAATTGATGAAAAATATATATTACTAGTGTTACGTAATGTTTTGTACGATCTGTACGTACTAGTATTATGTAATACATTAATACTATTACCCACTATACATCACTGTACTAGTGTTTTTTGTTACTGTTAAATTTGTTAGTCATTAAATATTATCATTAATTCAGTATAATTCATATGTACTAGTGTTATGTACTTTTTACACGTATTGGTATTATGTAGTACATTAATAACTATTACCCTCTATACATTATTGGTACTAGTGTAACTTATTACTGTTAAATCTGTTAGTCATTAGATATTATCATTAATTCAGTATAATTCATATGTACTAGTGTTATGTACTTTTTATACGTACTAGTATTATATAGTACATTAATACTATTACCTAATATACATCAGTGGTACTAGTGTTACTTATTACTGTTAAATCTGTTAGTGATTAGATATTATCATTAATTCAGTATAATTCATATGTACTAGTGTTATGTACTTTTTATACATACTAGTATTATGTAGTACATTAATACTATTACCCACTATAATCACTGATACTAACGTTACTTATTACTATTATATCTGTTAGTTATTAGATATTATTATTAATTCTGTATAATTCATGTGTACTAATGTTATATACTATTTATACGCACTTGTATTATGTAGTACATTAATACTATTACCCACTATTTATCATTGGTACTAGTTTTACTTATTACTGTTAAATCTGTTAATCATTAGATATTATTATTAATTCAGTATAATTCATCTGTACTAGTGTTATGTACTTTTTAAGCAAATAATCGAATTTTCAGAATTCGAGTTAAGCAAAAAATTAGATTTTCAAAATCAGGCCATAGGGTTTAGGGTTTAGTTTCGGATTTCTCAAATCCGAGTTTATCTCAAACTCGGATTACGAGAATCCGGGATTAGCTTAAACTCGGATTTTGAAAATTCGAGTTTCGCTTAAACTCGGATTTCTAAAATCCGACTTTTAGGGTTTAGGGTTTAGTTACGGATTTCCCAAATCCGATTTTAGTTTAAACTCGGATTTCCAAAATCCGAATTTAACTAAAAATTGGGTTTTCAATATTCAATTTAGTTCAAAACATTGGATTTTAGAGTTTAGGGTTTAGTTTAATGTGCCTTGTGTGGGTATGAGCACTATCCGGGTGAACGCAAATCCGAAAGTTGCCATTTTCTAAACAATTCGGATTTTTCAAATCCGAGAGTAAGTACAAAAGGATTCGGATTACCTAAATCCGAGTCTATTCCCTTTATTTTTAACACTTAGGTTTTTTTTTCTAAAATTTAAAATAATTTTTTATTATAAACTTTCGGATTTCCGAAATCCGAATTTCCATGTTTCAGATTAGGCTAATCCGTTTCTAGTCAACTTCTATTTTCGAACACATAGATTATTTTTCCAAAAAATAAATATTTTTTTATTGTTGACTCTCCGATTAGCGAAATCCGACACTTGATTAGTTTAAATTAATTCATTAATTTAATTTAAGTAATTTCAGGTTACTAAAGTCTCAACTTTCACTAATCTGAGTTTCGGTTGTCTCGGATTTGCGAAATCTGACTGTGCGATACTCTCGGATTTGGTAAATCTGAGAGAACTAGTATTGTCCACCTAATTTAGATCCATATTATTTTTGTCTAGGGTCTTTTTTAAATAATTTTTTGGGTAAAAAACTCCAAGAAATTTTTCCACTCCACCAATGTGTAATGCCGACAATTGGGGGGAAAAAAAAAAGGACTCTTGGAAGATGGAAGTTGGAATACTTGAAAATGAGGACAGAGATCGGTAAATTATTGGGCTTTTATGAGGTCATCATCTAATCAGTCCTACAATATAACCACTACTTCTCCATTAGGCCTTCAAGTTCTACCCTTTCCTCTAGGTGGCCCATTTGTCAATTGCCATAGTGGCCCTTAGTCCAGTTGTATTTTCTTTGAGGAAAATGTTAAACCTCATTAACATTTATTTATGTTACTAAATCTACATATACTTTTCGAAATAACTACAAAATAGAAAATACCCAAATTTTTATTTGTAGTTATTTTCTTCTCTTTTTGCATTCTTCATATAAAGATAAATATAGTATGTTGTGTGACATAGTAAAACTCCATAATGCTATATGACCAACACAAGTACAATGTATATTCAAAAAAATATTTTAGTGCTTTCATTTTTGTTAGTAAGTCACACTCTATTAATATAAGTACAGTTCTTGCACAAGGAATAACAATTATATTATTGTTAATCCCAAATTTAAACAAAATCTACACAAAAAAGTTGATTTTCAATTAATACTATCTTAGGATTCTTAAGTTGGAAAGATAAATCAATTAAAATATCATGCATTTTCACTCACTTTTTCAAGCTTTAAAGGCTTTTGCAAATCCTAATGAACAATTATTTTTATTTATATAAAAACTACGTATACACAAGGATTTCCTAAACCCCATGGTTTCTTTTGAATTTAATGTGAAGATAATCATGCACTTTTAGAAAAATGGATAAAATAGTTTGCAAAAAGAAAAAAAAAAGTGTAACATAATGATGTAGATATTCAAAAACAGTACAACCAAACTTTAAAATTCAAATAATAATATTCATAGTGATCAATTTCAAAGTTAATTTTTTCACAAAATAAAAAAAAATAACATCATGGTAATTCTTTAATTAACAGATATACTTTACTTGTTACAGTAGTGAAATAAATATATTATTAAATAAATAAACACATTTTTTTAAATATTTAAAAAGCAGTTTACAGAAAAAAAGGAAGAAAAAAGGACAAACATTATTTCTTTGGATTTGAGGGTATAATCGTGATTTTACGAGGTGGAAGCATCAGGCAGTACAAATCGGGTTTGTACCGCCCGCTTCGGAGTAAGACTGTAACAATAAAAAAGTAAAACCAAAAAAAAAAAATTTCCCGCCGAAGAGATAAAACCAAATTATTTTGAAATTTATATTTTCCCTCACGTTTTCGCTTTTTCCCACACATTTCAATATTTATTTTCTAACCTATCCAATTTAACAACCTCACTATTTCCACACTTTCCTAACATTTATTTTATCTTTTAATAATTCAATTTAATTATTTTTGGGGGGAAAAAACTGTAGAAGTGAAAAAATAAATGAAAAAAAAAAATCATTCACCATTCTTCCAATTTCCATTTTCAGCCCAGATGCCCAAATGTCTTCCTTCCTCCATAGCTCTCTTTCTTCATCCTTCTTTCGGTAATTCTTCCGACTGAGAGTTTGTTGTTTAAGGGAAGGAAAAGCGGAAGTTAGTGTGTGACTGTGTGTGTTTGTCATTTTATGAAAAAAGGGGGGTAAATTGGGTTTAAGAAATGGTGGAGAAGAAGTGTTGTAATAACTGTGGAGTAATTGTTGAATTTAGGGTTTTGTATAATGGGTTCTTCACCTGAGTCTTCAAATTCCGTGTCCAGTTCTTCAGCATTACAGAGGCCAACTCCAGCCCACACGGTATTTCCTTTTAATTCTGACCTCTCATTTTTGGAATTCAAGGCTTTGTTGGGTCTTAATTGGGGAATTTGGTGGAGGGGTTTAAGGATTTCTTGTTAGGTTATTTATGAGTTGGATGTGAACCGGGGTTTTGGTTGAATCCAGTTAGTTGGGTTATTCTTGTTTCCATGTTAATTATTAGGTTTGCGGAATTGTAATGGATTTTGGTGCCTAATTCTAAACTGAAATGTTTTTTTTTTTTTCTTTTTTCTTTTTAGTCTCAAATGTATTGTTTTGACTTGAGCTATCTGGGTTTGGAACGTTTTTTTTCTGGTGAATTTTACTGAAACAAAAACATTGGGATAATAGAGTTATGATGATTTTTGTTATAGCCACTAAGCTTGGCTGATTTTTCCTTCAAAGTGGTGGGATACTATTTGAAAAGAAGCTGTTGAGTTACTAACTTTCAGAAATGTTCTGTATCTTGGACTCTTTTTTTCTTTCCACTTATAATGATGAGTATGAGTACTTCTTGGGGTTACTGCATTTATGCATTCATCTAGTTCCCCCATGCAACTGTCTTCCATGCTTAGTTATTGAACAGAAATCTCTGATTCCACCTAATTTATTGTTGGATTATGGCAATCCAGGTGTTGTTAGCCTTTGATTGTGGTTACATCCGAGTTATGTTCAATTAGAATTATTATGCAAACAGTCGTTTCCAATGCTTCAAATCACAGAACTTTGATCATTCAAGACCAAAGTCTTGGAATCTGTAGATTGCCTATGTTCAGGAATCTCCCAGGTTTTTGAGCTATTTGTGATTCCCAGGATTTACACTCTTACAAGTTGATGTCTTATTCCATTCTCAGGATTCCTGCATTTTCCCTTCCATCAGTGACTTCTCTCCAATGAAGCCTGACAAGACTGCATTCCCGGTACAAGTTTTCCCTGGAAACCACTCTCCACCTGCTGTCAATAAATCTCCTCCAAATGGGAACAAGAATTGCCTGAACAGGTATGGTGTAATTCAAAAGCTTTATCTCTGCAAATTGTTGCATATCAGGATAAGTTATATATGTCGATTTTGAAATTTGAGTCTTGATTAGGTACCAATGCAATCCACGGTCAGATGCAGAATCATCCGGGCTGGATGTAGATGCTGAAGAGGCTGTCATTATTGCAAAGGATTCTGGGACATTAGGCAAGAGCAGTTATTCAACAGCTTGTCCTAAGAAGGCATTAGGAACTAAATCGTGGAGGCACACAGAAGCAAGCAATCCTCTAAGCGACACTGATGATTACTTATCGGCAACAGTAAACATGGAGGATAGAGCTTTCGACTCTTCTGTAGATTTGGGTCCTGAAAAACGTAATGACAACTTTCACTCACAGACTGACTTGGTTGATCCAAACGAATCTGTTCAAAAACCTGAGCGCAGGGATGACACTTCAAAAGAAGTGTTCGAAATTGAACCTCCTCTGATCTTAGAGAAGGCTGAGGAAAAAGACAAAGGAAACTCACAGTCTCGTCTTGACAATGATTTTCCTGAAGCTCATGGTTTGGAAGGTCAACACAGAAGGGCAGTCATGGCCGAGGTAGTTTCTCTTCCTCCCCTCCTATCTTTGTTTTGGTCACTGTATGAGAATATCTCTAATTATATTCTGCTGTCATTGTTCTTCAAAATGTGTGGATGCAGATTGCACAGTCCGGTCATATGTTTGAAGTGGGTGTCACGTCCCAGTTAGACTGTATGCAATGGGCTCAAGATTCTGGAGCTTCTTTGAATCCAGTAAAATACACTGCATCAAGTGGGAAACCCACTCATTACCAATCTCATAAGGTACAGTGAACTCATGAAAGAATTGCTTAAAATTGTAAGTGACAATCTAAGTTGCTTAAGGGGGTACCATTTGAAGTTTTGAACTTCAACATAAATGATGATGCTAGAAGTTTGCCTAGTGAGATTACTTGGATTTGAATAGTTGGTAAAATATGTATACCTTTATATTCTTTTTATCCTAGCTGTGATGCTTAATCTTTGAAGCGTTTTTCCAATTGAATCTTCCTCCCCATGTCAAGATTCTCATGAAATCACTTTGACAATTAATTATGCTACTTCATTTAGGTTGGTCTTCACCAGCACGGCATCAGTAGACGCCTGCAGTTTGAAGATGCTCATAGCAAAAAGTTGTCAGACATTGGTGTTGAAATTTCTTCTGGAAGTTTAAGTTATCGTACGTTGCCTGCTAGTACGGCTGGTGCGGAAGTCCGAGAATCATCTACACTCCACAAAACAGTCAGTGCGAGTAATATCTTTTCTCCCCCAAAAAATGGGAATCACAACACCATTGTTCCCAAGCCATCTGGCATTGGCCTGCACTTGAACAGTATCATCGCAAAACAAAAGGATTCTGCTTCAAAGTTCAGCAGGAAATCAGAGGTTGATAGTTTTGATGGACTAGGAAAGAAGTCTATATCTGTAACTAGCAGTCACTTGTATAAGAATTACTCAATTTCTTCAGATGTGGGGGGAGGTTCATCTTTCACTAACAATAGGAATGTATGTGATACTCCTGCTCCAATTGATGGAAATCCTGCTAAGTCCTCTTACAACATCAAACCTTTCTTTGAACCTGTCATTTTGAAGCCAAAAATACAGCTTCAAACAAATTCTTTGGACAAAGGCCAGCATGATTCTGAAACCTTTAACGATCTTGGTAATAGCGTTCAGTCAAGCCCTAAAAAGAAAAGGCAAGCTGCATTTTGTAGAAACTCGGTTTTTTTTTTTTGTGTTTTTTCTTCCTTTTGGTGAACAGATTCTTATGTTTTTTATTGCCTTCTGTATTAAATTTTGTTGTTTTTTGACCCAATTTATTTGCATGAAGCAGGAAAAAAACAATGAATGCTGATGACAATGGTTTCAAACGTTGCAACTGCAAGAAAACAAAATGCTTGAAGCTGTAAGAAAATAGATGGGTGTTTTAACTTCAGCTTACCTAAGGTTGTATCATGCACCAATGGAGTTTCTTTTTGTGCAGATACTGTGATTGCTTTGCTGCAAACAACTTCTGTGATGAATCTTGTGCTTGCCAAGACTGCTTCAACAAATCTGAATATGAAGATACTGTTGCTCTTACAAAAAAACAAATTACAGATCGTAATCCATCTGCATTTCAGTCGAAAATCGTAAAGCATAGTAGTGAATCCAGTGGTTGCACGGTATCCAATCTTTGGGATTTTTATTTATTCATTGATTTACGTTTGTTACTCTGGGGACATTTAGAACAAAAATGATGTTTATTTGATTTTCAAGGATAATGGAGATTCCACACCTTCCTCAGCAAGACACAAGAGAGGATGCAATTGCAAGAAATCAAAGTGTTTGAAGAAGTACTGTGAATGCTATCAGGTTGCATATCTAGTTTTGTTGCAATATCTACTAATCATATTTTTGGATGTTTGCATTTGACTTAATCTGATGGGCATATTTCATCAATCTTTTTCCCTTTTGTTTTTGGTTTCCATGGTTGAAGGCAAATGTTGGGTGTTCTGATGGATGTCGATGTGAAGGATGTGACAATATCTATGGCCGAAAGGAAGGTATGATATTCTTCATATGAATACGATATAACTGTGTTCTTCTACATGCATGAAGGGTTCAGGAGAGTTTAAAGATAGGCAGGGTAGGGAATAAATTAAGTAGTGATCCAGGGCAGTACTTGTTTATTGTGAATTATTGTGCTTAAGACAGACAGCCTTCACATTAAAAAATGAGCTAAATTTGGCTACACTTTTTGCCTTCATAGATTATCTGAAATTTATGCAGCTTTTATAGATTTTTGTACTCTTATTGAATTAAATTTTAATTGAAATATTAATTTGAATAATTTAATGTTTATTTTATTAGAATGAAGAAGGATTTTAAATGAACCTGAAGTCATCATCAGAATAGTAATGAAATACAAACTCTAGTAGATATTACCAAGCTTTGAAAGAAGCATCCATTTCTCAATAGAATTTCTATTATAATGTCTGTTATTCTTTTTACAATGTGCAAAAATTATTTAAGATTCCTTTTCTTACTGAGCTCCTTCGGTGCTGGGGAGCTTCTGCTGATGTTACTATTGAATAACGATTTTTCTTTTTCAATCAGTTATTATACCTTTACTAGTAGTGCTTATCTTGAAAGTTAGCCTAGACTTGTTAAAGTCATTCACAACAGAGTCATGAAGTTATTTTGTACTTCATAATCTTTAGCTTTCTTGAGTTAACTGTAGCTACTTTTTCTTGTAGACTATGGTATCATCAAGGATCAGATTAACAGACAAGTTAACAGTGAAAGTTTGGATAGCTCGTTCGAAATAATGCTATCAAAAGATGGTTCTACGCACAATGACTTATACAGCCCTCAGAATTTGACTCCCCTAACTCCTCAATTCCAGTCTTCAGTGTGAGTTTCTATTAAACTTAAAATGTAGAGCCTTCATTTACTTTAATGTATCAATCTTTTATCCCGTAATCACTGCCAAATCATGTGCTCATCCGCATTTCCCCATCTGTCTCTGTAGAAATGGAAAAGGTGGTTGGTTTTCTTCTGGACGATACCTCCTGTCACCAGATTCTGGTCTCAGCTTGTTAACGCCTTTCGGAGTGTCTCCAGTTGCTGCCGGCGACCCTGATAGCCGTGACTTGATCCCTGAAACCAATTCAGAGATTATGGATTTAGCTCCTTTCCCGCAGGACTTTAGCAGTGGTTACCGGTATTCAGCCAATCAATTCTCTCAATGTGATGGACCTAGCAGTATGAATCATTCTAGTCCTGCTGCCTTCCCTAATCCACAAGATTGGGTGGCAAGTGCCCCGAGGGCTCAAATCGTTACTGGAAATCGCCATGTTTCTACTGAGAGTTCCCTTCGCTGGCGTAGGTCACCAATTACACCATCAATTCATATAGGGGCAAGTAAACTTCATCAAGCTGCTGAATTTGAGGAACGACCATACAGTATCGTAGATGATGACACACCTGAAATACTAAAGGAGAATCCTGAGCCTACGGGTGCTGTAAAAGTTAGCTCGCCAAATAAGAAGAGAGTTTCTCCTCCTCATGGAGGACTGACTCAGCTCACTTCTTGCTCATCAGAAGGCGTGAGAACTTGCCGTAGGTTTGTATTAAAAGGTATCCCGACAATGCCGCCAAGAACCCCACATATTCAGTCCCAAGTTGATCCTGCTCAGAACACTGATAATGCCCAGAGTTCCAGTAGCAGCAAATAAACAACTAAACTTATAGGTAAGGTTGTGTTTAAACATTTTGAGTTTGTACTGTGAAACCTTTACTATGACTAAATATTATGTATTGTTTGTTTTTTTTTTTTTTCAATTGCAGGTTTAATCTAATTGCCGTAGTGGTTCGAACTAGGAACAAGGTCTGCAACTGCAATCATGCCACAAGCTTTATCAAAAATAAAGATGGAAGTAATACCCTCACGTTTACTGCTTACATCTCCTCTAACCCTTTTCCTTTTCCTCTTTAATTACCTTTTTCCTTACAATTTTGATAATTTGAGAACAAAACTAGCATTCCAATTTAATTTACAGCATTGGTTGGCAGAATATTTATTAACTTGGATGTTTTTCCATTCCTTTATAGTGTTGGAATTTTTCGTTTTGAAGAAATAAGATTAATAAATTGCAGTGAGCTTTTCCTTCAAGTGTCTGTCTGTTTTTCGCATACTCCAGTCCAATTTGTAAAAGGTGTAAAATGCTTGCAAGACTTCGAGAAATATTGGGAATTTGGAATACAGTTTTTCACATGTACCACCGTCTTAACTTGTGCTTGATCATTTTCTGGTAAATTAATAGCATTTATTTATGTACAAAGAGAGTTACTGAAGCTGCATTTCACAGTCTCTTTCCTGAAGCGAGTGCATAAAATATACTGCACACAAGATGACGTAATCATCAAACACTTTTCATGTCAGGTTGGAATTGCCCTCTATATTTTGTGTTTCTTTTTTTTTTTTTTTTTCAGAAAAGGTCATCTATAACACTTTCATGTCGAATACCTATCAAATCTTATACAAAAAAATATAAGCTAATGCAGAAAAAGTTTCGCCATCCAAAACAACAGCAATAGAACTAATTTCACCAATGATCTTGTAGAATTCCTGTCAACGTACGTAGCCATCCAAATTTGCCTCCATCATTTTCTTCATCAACAAACCAGCCTTCTGTCTAGCTACAGCAGATCCTCTCACAGAAACATCAGCCAATACAGTCATGATTTCGGGCAATCGTAGCGCGTTCAGTATGCATCCTTCACTCTCTTCAAACAACCTCAGAAGAATAACAACAGCGCCTTCCTTACTCAACATGCTTCCTTCTTTCAAAACCCCAAGCACAATGTTCAATATTTCGTCACTCATTCTCAAAGCATTCAATCCCTCTTCAAACCTCGACAACAGGCTCAAAATCGTGAGGGAAGTGCCCGCGAGATCCTCCCCTTCCCCGTTCTTTACTACTCTAATCAGCATCGGAATGGCCCCTGAACGTACTGCCACAATACAGTTGCCATGAAATTGCACAAGTTCAGCAAGAGAACTAAGTAGATGATGGCAAGCCGGATGGCCTAAACCTGAAGAAATCGCATGAATTAAAACTTGAATGGTGCCGGCAACTCCAAACTTCGCCTTGTTTTTGTCCAACATTGCTAAACTACACAGCAAAGAAGCTGCTAGTTTGCTAGATTCTACCGAAGCAGGTGAAAGGATCAAGGAGTTTAGGGACATTATGTTTTTCATATCAGCCAACGAATGCTTCAGATTGGGATTGAGGGAGAGGTTGAATAAGATGGATAAAGCCAGAGTTTCAACATCAGGGGAGCATGACTTAAACAAGGACAGAATGATAGAAATGGCACCATCTGTTTGTGCTAATAAGTTCCTGTTCTGTGGGCTAACTTTGGTGATTGTAATCAAAGTTTGGAGGGCTTTCTTCCGCTGATTTTCTCCTCTATTAGTTTGAATTTCTTCAAGACACTCAACAATAGTTTCTCGAATACGAACTGAAGACATCGCGTTATAGCTGTTGTTGAAGAAGATTCAAGGTAAAACGTTTGTCCAGTGCAAAGATTTAATGGTTTGTTTTTCGACTTTGTTTCCCATTAAAACAATGTTCTGTAGTAATTTGGATAAGGCCATTGCATGAGATTGGTGCTGAGTTTCCTAGGTCCGTCTTCAATCCCAACAACATATATCAATTTGGGATGTTTAATAAGGCTGATTTGATTGCCGCTGCTTCGATATTAACATAGAATAGAAGGTCTAAGATGTGTACAAATCAATCAAAACAAAATCATATGGTAATATAATAAGCTTGCCATTCTGCTCAAGAAAACTGACAACTAAAAACAGCTCCTCACAAAATGGCCTAAACTAGTAGACAACATAGTAAATATGCATCGTACTCTTGAATGTCCTGACAGAGACATGCATAAACGACGCTGAAGAAAGAGTCACCATAAAGTTTTCGTGGATTAGTAGAGATCGAAATTCGTCCACTCCATTCATCAACTTCGATGTTCTGCTTTTGCTGTTCTTCTGCTACATCACCAAATATGAGCCTTTAGGTGCTCCCTGCGTGGTAAACACCGACAAAATCACGAATTTCAGGAGCATCATTATGCAGATTGCAGCTTGTTGGCATCTCTTTATTACTAACATAGAGTCACACCTAACTTATCCATTTCAGCGGTTTCCCAAAACAATTTGGTTTGTCTTTAACATCATCGACTTTCCCCGCACAAGTTAACCAGATACAGGACCATTTCTGTATTCGACAAAAAAGACCCTGGAAACCTAAATAGGGGGACAGCTAGCAATGAGAAAAACAGAGCGGTCTATTCATGGTCCTTCTCTGTCATTCTCAGCTTTTCGCCGAGTTCATGGAAGACCATATCATCAATCATTTTCGAATTCTAGAAGCTTTGTAGAGAAGGGTTAAGGTCCATGGGAGCCCTCGAGGAATCAGGTCAGCCAGACCACCCCCTATCACCACATCATTCGTTCTAGCATCTTTCCAGTATATCAGAGACGGGCTTCAAGTCCATTGTTTGCACACGCCCTAATTCCAACCTTTTCGCCTGTTCGAGTTTCCTATTCGAGTTTCAGATGTGTGATAGATACACTACCCCTTTTTTTTTTCTGGTCAACTCCCTGTGGCGGATTTACTCTTTATGGATGAAAAGTAATAGCAAAAGGGTGGTTAATCATTATGAAAAGTGAAGGAGAAGGCATCGTTCTTTTGACTAAAATGTCCACATGGTCTCTTACATTTGGAAGTACTTAAATTTACGTCCCTAACATTAAAATTTCAATATCGTAGTCCTAAACATTATGTTTTCACACTTTTTTGTCTCATTTCACTGTTTCCGGCCGTTGACATGCCGGAATTAGGGTAAATTTAAATCATTAAAAATATTTTAAAATTCAAATTTCATTATTTTATTGTTAAAATATTATTTATTAATTAAAAATATTATTGTACAATTTTAAAATTTATCATTATTTTCAAAATTACTTTTTTCATTTCCTATTTATTTTAAGTACATAGTAAATGATAATTATGTTGCACTTTTAACTTTGGACCGTTGTAACTTAAAAAAATTACCAAGTTACAGTAAATACTTCAAAATTCAATTATTTAAAAAAAAAAAGAAAAAAAAGCAAAACTAAGGTTTTTTTTTACTCTGACCGCTATAGTAAACTCTAAATGGTAATTATGTTACACTTTTAACCTTGTACCCACTGTAACTTAAAAAATTTATTAAGTTACAGTAAATAATTCAAAATTTATTTTTTATTTTAAAAAAAAAGAAAAAACAAAACTAAGATTTTTTTTACTTTGACCGCTACAGTAAACCCTAAATGGTAATTATAATATACTTTTAACCCTAGACTCACTGTGACTTAAAAAATTTATCGAGTTACAGTAAATAATTTAAAATTTTTTTTTTTTTTAAAAAAAAAGGCAAAACCAAGATTTTTTTTTACTTTGACCGCTATAGAAAACCCTAAATGATAATTATGTTGTACTTTTAACCTTGGACCCACTGTAACTTAAAAAATTTACCGAATTACAGTAATTAATTCAAAATTCAATTTTTTTTCCAAAAAAAAAGGAAAAACCAAGATTTTTTTTACTCTGACCGCTACGTTGCTTTTTTAACCTTGGACCCACAATAACTTAAAAAATTTACCGAGTTACAATAAATAATTCAAAATTTATTTTTTTTCAAAAAAAAGGAAAAAAGCAAAACAAAGTAATTGACCGCTACAGTAAACCCTTATGTTGCACTTTTAACCTTGGACCCAATGTAACTTAAAAAATTTACTGAGTTACAGTAAATAATTCAAAATTCAACTGTAGCGGTCAAAGTAAAAAAAAAATCTTGGTTTTGCTTTTTCCTTTTTTTTTAAAAAAAATTGAATTTTGAATTATTTACTGTAACTCGGTAAATTTTTAAGTTATAGTGGGTCCAAGATTAAAAGTGCAACATAATTACCATTAAGGGTTTACTATAGCTGTCGGAGTAAGAAAAATAGTTTTGCATTTTTTTAAAAGAAATTGAATTTTGAATTATTTACTGTAACTCGGTAAATTTTTTAAGTTACAGTAGGTCTAAGGTTAAAAGTGCAACATAATTACTATTTACTTTGACCTAAGATAAATGATAATTAAAAAAATTAATTTTAAAAATAATGTAAATTTTAAAATTTTATAATAATATTTTTAATTAATAAATAATATTTTAACAATTAAATAATGAAATCTGAATTTTTAAATATTATTAATGATTTAAATTTTAATTGAAATTCAAATTAAATTAAAAAACAAAAATACCCCTGATTCCGGCATGTCAACAACCGAAAACAGTGAAATAGAACTGAAAAAGTGTGAAAACATAATGTTTGGAACTACGATATTAAAATGTTAATGTTAGGGACGTAAATTCAAGTAAGCCCAAATGTAAAGGACCATTTGAACATTTTAGTCTATTCTTTTTACAGTTGTTAAAAAAGTTGGTACTCTTATTTTGGGCAGAAAAGGAAGTGTTCCAAATACCATTATGTGGCAGCGTCTAACATCCTTACTAGTTACTACACTAATTAGCAAAGTTCACAATTCATCATAATAAAAAAGTGTGGCCTAGATTCTAAGTAGAGCCTGGTTACACTCAATGATTTAACCTACAGACAATACTTGTGCTCTTACATCTAAGCACCAGTAGATAAATGGTATCGCGTAGACATAATGTAAAAAAGATAGAAATTCCCAAGTCTCTTAAAATCACCGGTAGTCACATTTTTTTTCACGCTGCAAGGGGGATGAGAAAAGCGGAGGGGGAAATATGGTTTAAATAACCTAAATCATAAGCACAAACACTATTCAACTGTAGAGCTAAGGAACAAACCATCAGGCAGGCCCTATAAGAATATATCATACTTTGCATAACAACAGTTCTCTTATTCTTGTCAGGAGGCAGGAGAAGCATCCACAGCTATGCTTATTAATCCCGTCCTGAGTCAGGAGTGCCATCATCATAGGAAACCAGGCCCGGCTTCCCTGGAGGGCTCCGGGAAGGGGAACTTGACTTTTCTTTGCTAACCCGCTTAGGGGATTGTGAGGCAAGAGAGGAACGTGATGCTGATCGGCTTCTACTACGAGAAGGTGTATGCCGCCTCTCAATGCGTGGTGATCCACGGTACCTCTCCACCGGTGAACGGCTGCGAACAGGGCTGCGGCTGTAACGACGACGGTAACGTATTGGACTCCGAGATATACTACGACTGTTGCTCCTGCTTCTCCTGGCTCTAAATCTGCAATAAGGGTATCAGGCAACATTAGTATGTCACATGTCATACTATTGTTTCCTCTAAATTCACTGCCAAATTAGCAACCTAACGAATTCATTTTCACAGAACCCGTATGACATCACAAGCAGATAAGCCATCACATTTTTTTTCCCGAGAAATTCTAGCTTCACGGCAACATGAAATTGAAAAACATCAAAACGTGTTCCACCAACCAGAGATAAAAAAGGGAATGGCTCAGGGCACAACTAGGAACCACTTGAATATGTTATACGTATTCCTAAACATTGCTTCAGATGATAAAGAATTCGCCAGCTATCTGTTGCAGGTCGGCAACAGAAAGACAAACGCTTAATAGCTTCCTCAAACTACATTCAATTCTTTCCTTCATCTCTATAAAGATATCCCCCTGTTTCTACAAGCAAGCACAAACCAGCTACCTCCCTGACTCCCAGTACATGTTGCACATCAGCTAGCTTCCTTAATACGTTCCATCCAACAATGCCCCAGGCTAATGACCAGAATCAATAATATCATTATGCAGACGCGTTTGGCAGTCCTCCAGCTATATCAAATATTTACTGTTCAAGTTTTTCCCCCTTAAAAAAGCTAATAAAAATACAGTAACATTTAAATCCACCTATCATTCAAGCTTCCACCACTGGTGCAGATAAGTATGCTTTGGCCCAAAAACATGGAAATTTGAAACGTGAAAGAGTAATTAAGAAATTTTTAATAAAGCTATTGAAAGATAAGAGAACGCAAAATGGTTTCAACGATTACAGACCTGGGAGGAGTTCTTCTTGGTGGACTCCTGTAACGCCTAGGGGATCTTCTGTAGCTGGGATATCTATTAGCCAAAGAAAAAAAACAAAACAAACAAACAAAATGAATGATAAAAATTACAGCATATTCTTAATGTGAAATTTGAAATGAAGGCTTTGTACCTATCTCGATCACTTCTACCACCATAACGGAATGACCGTACAGGCGACCTATCTGGAGAACGGCTCCTATATCGACGTACATAAGAGTAACGATCACTGAAGCCCCTTCCCTTCCTTGTGCGCTTAGAGGATCCATCGACCGAAGGACTTCTTGATGAGCTTCGCCCACGAATAGAAATAGGTGATCTTCTCCTAGGACTCCTTGAATAGCTACGGCGATTATTTCTGCTAGGAGCTCTAACAGGACTAAGGCTAGGGCTTCTCCTAGAAGGAGCCTTGCCAGAGCTTCTGCTGACACTCCTCCGAGATACACGTACAGGACTTCTACTGACACTCCTCGGCCGAACAGGGCTTCTGCTTAAACTCCTTCGAGATGACCTGGTTGGACTTCTACTATCTGACTTCCATGATGGCCTCCTAGATGATGTCCTAGGTGGGCTTCGACTAGGCCTCCTCGGCGGTGATGCAGAGGGACTCCGGCTACTGCTTCCGCGATTTTGGTCCCTTGTAGGACTTGCACTGACACTTCTTCCTTTTCTGCCTCTCACCGGACTCCTGCTGTCACTCCTAACTGGACTCTGGCTGCTTGCACTCCTGACAGGGGTGATACTCCTTCCCCTTTGTGAAACTCGAGGAGGGGTGCGGCTGACACTTGGACTCCTACCAACTTTACGTTTTGGACTAAAACTCCTGCTCCTGCTCCTACTTGAACCCCTCCTTGGACTAATACTCATGCTCTTGCTCATACTTCTTCTAGGACTCATGCTTCGGCTCCTGCATATTAATTTTCAATAAGAACCAGATTTGCACAATCCTTAACATACTTCAAGAGGCATCATAGAAAGAGTATGTGAACCTAGATTTGTCAGGGTGGTCATCTACAACATCAGGTTGTTTGTCGGCACTCCTTTGAGAGCGATTGTCCACTCCAATTCCATTGCTCCGTGGTTCTCCATTCTCTACAGGGAACTCACCTTCCTCTCTTTCAAACATATCAACTGACTCTCTCTTCTTTTCGCGAACTGAACTATTTCCACCCTCCTCAAGAATAGGAGATTGATTTCTTTCTGTTGCAATAAATCATAAAAGGTAGTCTTAGAATGTTAAAAACACGAGAAGAGAAGCACCTCTGAATATAGAGGAACGGAGTAGAATGAGAGTTATCCAAAATCTGACAAATCCTATTCTCACCGGCCAAAAAAGACAGCATCCAATTGGGAATTATAAATTCAGGGCATAACATTCAAGATTTTTGGATATTCAACAACAATAAAAGGACCATTGATACGCCCATCATCATTAACACATATAAAAGGATATTATCTAAATGTCCTAAGTTGTCTCCTCTAAAGGGAACCGCAGAATGAGGTCCCATATTACTAAATGCTTATCATTCGAGGTTGTTCAGAAGCAGTGACCATACAAGCAGTAGGATTTATTCAAGGTAAGGTTAGCTGCATATAAATAAAGAAAGGACATCTGAATGAAAATTCTATCCAAGATAGAAAGGTAAACAAGAAAATGCATTCATCTATTATACATGGCAAAATATATAAGCAGAGTAACCTTACCAAGATTCTTCTGCTTCCTATCTAATCCTTGAGCCTCAGGATTATTAGCTCTTGAGCCACCTTCACTTGCACTCTCACTTTCCGAAGTACTATCAGATGCTCTACAAACAGAAAGAGAGCAAGAAATTCTAAGAAAATACAAATATTAAGTGGAAAAGGAAGACAGATTTACAAATATCAACAAAATAAGGAAAATCACATCAAAGCTCCATAACCATTCATTCAGCCAGAGACACAAAACTGCAGCCCACATATGATAAAAATGAAGTTCTCTTATAAAGAGACATCAAACACCACAAAGTAAGAGGCAACACCAAGAAAATAGAGGTGAAACCTGCGTGACTTGCGCTTAGATTTTTTATCACGTCTCTTGCGCCTTTTTTCACGGCGCTTATCTTTCTTCGCACGCCTATATTTATCTCTCTTGGATCTCTTCCTCTTGCGGCGTCTATCCTCGCTTGAAGAGCTACTGTATGTTGATGAAGATTCGTAAGAGTCAGATTCACTATCCGATTCAGAAGATTCAGTATCATCCTCAGAGGAGCTGTCTGAATCAGACGAGTAATGCCTCCTCTTTTTCCTTCTAGAAGATTTTTTGTGCTTTCCTTTGCGTCGAATTTCATGATTGTTCACCTCAGGGGAAGCATCCTTCCCCGACTTCAATTTATGCAATTTCCTTTTATCTGTGCAACATAGACAGGATAGTGTACAGCTAATTACCAAGGGTTGGAAAAACATCATAATTCATATTCTTTCAAATGGTTTAGCTCATCAGGATAATTCATAACTTCAAAATGTAAATTAATTTTCTTGAAACGAAAATCTTATTTCCACAGGAAATTAAATTAGTAATACTAATTTACCGATCAAAGCGAAACTTACCCCCACGTAGTTCACCACAATTTATTATCTTTACAGTAACAGTTGGTCTACCATCTTCATCTCCCACATCTTCAATCTTTTTCAAAACCTCATTTCCTTGCACAAGCTTCCCAAACACGACACATTTCCTGAAGTAGAGATATCAAAAGTGAACAAATTTCTCAATCAACCCTAAGCACACCCCACGAAAGCCAAATCTCCACAATCATCACCAAAAACTGCCAACACTAATAAGCCAAGTGAGAGCACCAGGTAGCAGAGTAAAAACAAACCTGTCAAGATGATGATCAGCTTTCAATGTGATAATGAAGAGGGAACCACGTTCATCTCGATCAGCAATTGCCATTGACAGCAGGCCTGGCCCATCATGCTTTAGCTTTGGAGACTCATCTGGTAAGAAAAATACTTGCCAATTAGACACATGAAGAAAAGATGCTAGACTAACCAACACAGTTGCAATAATAGCCTATTCATGATTGAAAATGTCATTTTTTCTAGCTTAGCCAAAAATCTGCAGTAATGCAAGCAGTAACATTTTCAAAAACTAACAGCATATCAGCGTTGTCTCTTCACGTAAGCAATTATTACAAAATTATCACACAGTCATGGTTACAAATACTTGAACTCTAGCATTGTAAAGTCACGAAAGAGAACATCTGCTTTTCGTGCAGACGGATATTTCTCTATACGAACCAACTTCAAGCATTCAGAATTTCATTATGCTAATATTGAACCATGGGAAACTTGCTGACATTTTCTAAAGAGGAAAAACATCACAAGCTCAGAGGTAAACAGTTAAAACTGCCCAAGCCTCATCATTATTCTAATTTCAAAGCGAATGAAAAAAACTCGAGGAAAAAACTGATTACCAATCTGAAAAACAATCCCATTCTAACCATTCAATTTCTATCTCTGACCAAGTTTTTAAAACGATAGAAAATTCAATTAGCAATAAGCTAATAAATAAAAAAGGGCTTAATCTTTCTGCCAAAAAAAGTGTAAGGAAGCATGGTAGGGAACCAGTGACTGAAATTAACCGCGAAACATTATTTCATAACTGTAAAGTCAGGGGTAAATTAACTCATTCCCCACGTCTTGCAATGTCTAATTTAGTAATTACTCAAAAGAATCAGTTTAGCTGTTAACGTTTTTTCAATTAGCAAGAAAGATCATACAAAGCTTTATCAACAAAACAAAGAGGAGTTCCAGTACTAGCAGAAAGCCGTCAAATGTTTGATAACCAACATAAATAGTCCAGATTTATGGTAACTCAAAATCATAGATCTCAAGGGTTAATCAAAAATACCTCGCAAGAGTCTCCAAAATTCTAATATTTATGTACAACATAACAAGTCTTGAAAAATCTCGTTCGTTTGGAATCAGATGGAATTATAGATGAAACATTCATGTATTAATGGGAATTGTAAATAATATTCAAGTTTTAGGCAAATAAAAGAGGAAACTAGTATCCACGAGGAAAATAATGCGCATCATTTTCAGTTTTGGAGTCCGAAAATAATGCGTCTCCACGAGGAAAATTTAGGATAAATTTGACAAGAATCCAGAAGCAGAATCTGAAAATGATCAGAAAGAGGGATGCAGAAAATCCTTGGAGCATGCTAAAAACAAAAAAACCAAAAATATTACTTCAAGCGGAAAAGTCCAATACCAACACCACCTCTAAGCCTTTACCCCAATATGCGGGTTGGCTACTCACCATTGTATTTTATCAGAATTCAGTACATAATGTATAGAGAATTTCTTCCTCTTGCTTTAGTTGATACAATTTCAAGTACTTAAAACACAAAATATAGGCAGCCTAGCAGTACAGCAATCCCTACCATCGTACAAGAGAAAACTATGTCCAAATTAATGTTTGAAGCTCCCATGCAGCCAGAACATCAAGGTGAGGCCCCACCTTCACAGGCAATGCAAAAAAGAAAACCATTTGCTTACTAGATACAAATGCCTTATGCAAAAGAAACATATCAAACATTCTAATATAGGTCACTATATAATTTTCTCATGAGACAACTTATCACTGCCATTAATTGATAAGCAAGAATATTGCAATAAGAGTACGTTCTCACCTGGGAACTTATCACCGTATATGCTTTCCCCAAAATTACCTGCAGAGTAAAATCACCTTTACTTTAATGGAAATCCACATTGCAAGAAAACTAAAAATAATTTTCTGAGTAGAGACAAATGCAATTAGAAATAACGAAGTAAATGAGGATACAAAATTCAGATGATAAAGCAAATTGAATCACGGAGAGAGTGGGGGAATCAAGTTTCATTGTAAAACAGAATGTACTTTGGGCCTGTTTAGTTCACAGGAAAGTAAAATTATGTAGGAATGTATTTCCAGGGAATTTAACTTTGAGGAAATGAATGTAAAATCCTTTAATTTTATGTGTTTGTTTACATAAATGATGTTGATTGAGAAATAAAAAATGAAAAAACAGAAATACCCAAATTAACCTTGATTATTTTTTATACAAAATCCTATAAAATCCTGTTCCTTTCGTTTATTATCATTGAATAATTCTCAAGCAGATCTCCATTTGAAAAAACAACTGTAAAAGCACAATTTCAATTTGGATGGAGGAATTAATTAGTGCTGAATGAAGATTGATAGGATTGGCAGGGTAGCAATATACATAAAATTCCTGAAACAAAGATTAAAGCCTAATATCTGATTATATCTCCGATTAATGACATTATGCAAAGTGAAACATGATGTTTGTGGGTGCGAATTCATGAAACATGCAATCACCCTAGCACAAACATATATATATATATATATGTATATATGTATATATATATACACTGTATTGTGTCTGTCGTGGGAGGAAGAAGAAAGAAAGTGACTATAAAAGATGCATACCATCTTTCCTCAGCAAGTCACCCCCCTGCAAAAGGAAATGTAGAAGCTATAAATATCTTTTCAGAAGACAAAATGAGTGAAAATGTAGGATACAGATGCTAAAAGTTCAGAAAGTTTAAAGGTAGACATCTAAGAACAACCTCAAAACTACATCACAAGAAAAGGAGTCGAGACCATCAGCCCTGTATCCTACATAATAAACACAGATGGCTAAAAGAGAGAACATCTCTAATCTTTTCTCAACCATAGATCTAGCTATCTAATACAGCATGAGAAACTTTTCAACTCAGTAAAGAAGAGCTCAACCAAGGCCCAAATCATAGACATACCTTAGCCATGGATCCTTTGATAATGCGATGGAAAAAGGTTCCTTTATAGTGAAGAGGTCTTCCAGTTCTTGAACTTTCTCCTTTCTCGCCTGAACATATTAGTAAGAACCTCAGTCAGATACATAAGACTCAAGTAGCATGATCTACTAGTAGATTCCACAGAAGTTACAAAATTGACAAATGTTTTCTTTAAGCTAATATTCTGCTGAGTTAAATACCACTTCGCCTGTCAACAATATATGAAGCAAAGGATCTTAGAGCTCAAGAAAAAAAAAAAATTCTAATGGAACGGAATTTAAAGGCCAAACTATGAATCAGGGGTACGATTGCAGGGTAGGCCTAAAGACTAGTTTCTGTAGTATGACACTAGTGCAGAGCAGGCACAGTTACAAACAACAGTAGAGCAAATTCTGTCAACAAAATCACCCACAACTGACACAAGACAAAGCCATAATTGCAGTTATTCTTCAGGTCAATAAATTGAGTTGGACCAATCTGTTGCTCAATTTTCTCTAATTGTTATTCTTGGAAGGGAGCAAATGAAGACAATCAAAAACACTAGGGGAAAAGTCTGATTCCTTAACTATTGAAAAGAGAAAGATCAAGACCCCAACTAAATCTCAGAATGGGGCTTATGAGAGGTATCCAACCCCATTGATGGATACTACAAAGCAGCTGAGGTAAAAATACCAAAACCAACCTGTACAAAGAGCGCGGAAATTCTCGGCAGTTTTTGGAGCAACATCATCAAAAAGCTGCAACCACACAAAACTAATCAGCTCCATTTTGTCCCATTGATTACCGAGAAAAAGAGAAAGAGAACGAAAGCAAACCAAGCATGATTTGGAAGAAACTGAACACACAAAACGTCCAACAATGTTAAGGAGCACTAAAAAGGTTGTCTATACAGGACTTAAAAGCAGAACAAATAACAGTACCTCGAAAATCATTCTCTCAAAAGGATCCCCATCAATAGACACGTCCAAGAAAACCAGTGGCTTGTGTTTACTCATCATAGGAGATATTCAAAGTCACAGGCTCAAGTCCAAAGAAATAGATCTGTTTCAACAATTTCCCAGTTAGATACCATAACAGTAAATAGCATGCCTAAAAACTTCAGCAGACGTGATTGAGCAAGAGAAAAAAGAAATTAGTTTACAGCAGAAGAACAATAGACCACTACAACACATATAATCAGCTAATTCAGCTTCTTCTAAATAGGTTAAAAAAAATAAAAAATAAAAATAAAAAACACAAACACACACACACCAAAAGGGGGAAAAATTGAACGTTATATAGAAAGACTGGAAAAGCAGCCACCAAAAACAATCTAAAGTTCCTAAACTACCTGGACTCACCCACTTTGTGGCTTATATCCGACAAAGACACTGTCGGACACGGATACCGACACGGATACCGACACGGAATACGTACCGGACTCCAACAAATTCCAGATCCCTTGACTAAATTGGACGGATTGGAATGCAAAAAAAAAAAATAAAAGGAGAAGGGTAGAAGAACAGAGATGAAGAAGAAAGCAACGGAGACTTAGGTTAAGCTGGAGTCAGTCGCAGAAGGAGTCATTTCCTGCTGCTCACGATATTCGCTCACAGTTGCAGCGGCGGGGGATTGGGGAAGAAGAAGACTAGAAAGGGCTCTTGGGCTCATTTTATTAAAGTAGTACTGGGCTTTCTTTTTATTAACGTACTGGGCCTTTTACATGGAGCGCATGATATTTTTAGTCCTTAAAGTATTTTCTAATTATTTAAACTGGAAACTACAGCGTTAGTTGAGAAGCAGAGATGGATACGGAGATGAACGACTCCAGACAACCGAAACCGGCAGACGATAATCCAGCCACTAAAAAAATCAAAAACAAAGAGGAAGTAGCATTTGATCAATAACCTACAGTGTTCTCCGGTAAGGCAGCAGTCCTTAACCAGAAAACTGAATTTTCAATAAGGGAACCAATCGCAGTCAGAGAAGAAGAAGTCATTCACACCACAACGGATGGGTGCCATCTGTCAAATTTCTTGATCCGATTCAGGAGAAAATGAAGAAATCAATGGGCTACTGATATGCTTATATTATACCTATTTATTATATCCCTAATTTATGATTTTTGCAATATATTTTAAGTACGAATATCCTATTTATATGATTTTATCTTTATTTGTAGGTTTTGTACTCAAATGGAAGAATTGTTGATATTTTGGACTAAATTAAAAAGAAAAAGCAACTCAAAGAAAGAATTGAAGATTTGATAAATTGATAAGGAAGAAATTGAAATACTTGAAAAGTTGGAGGAGTTTTAATTTAAATTGGCTTGAAAAAAAAAAATTTCTTATCCTGAAGAAATAAGGTTTGAGAAAAGTCTATAAAAGGAGGATTAGGGCTTTATTTTTGAACCGAACCTCCACCTTACGCACATCATCATCATCATCATTATCACACCGCTCCACCTTCCTGCCCACACAGCTCGCAGCCACCTCTCCTCCTTGCTCCACTCCCACGCACTACTTAATTAGTCTCCACCATTAAACATCACCGAACCACCCCTTCTCCACACATCACTTCTTCTTCACGGCTGAAAATCATTCACCGCACCAACACACCTTCAGCCCCCCACACCTTCACGCACAAATCCAATCACCTACGCACCATCATCGCCAAGAGGAGCAGCATTGGATCAATTTCCGAACTCAATTTTGGATTTTTCTCTCCCGGGTTTCATTGTTTTATTTATTTTTGAGATGATGTGCAGCTAAATTATTTAATCTAGGGTTTTGGATGTAGCCGCCGTACTATTTAATTTAATTTAAGTTATGATTGTGATTTTTTCATTAATTAATATTTATTATTCTTGTTTTTCATCCATGTGAATACCTGATCAATATTTGCATGCTTTAAGGTGCTAGCTGAAGTAGCGAGAGTGGAAGGCATTAGTTTGTAGGAATAATAAACTTAGGTAGTGAGCCACCAGAGTAGGAATACCGCCTTTGCGACTAGTAATTCCAAAGTTCTTAATGTGCTTTTATTAATCCCTATAGTCACGAGAGTAGTCATGGGGTTAGTTTAAGTAAGAGAGTTATGACACGAGAGTGTATAATTCTTAAATTGGTGAATTGTCGTGAGATTAATGAGAGTCGAAAGTCACATATCTATAGATTAATTTAAACTGAATAGTCGGTTGGTGAACCATTTGCCCTAGGTTTTTCTTTTACTTATTTATATCTTTAAATAATTGTAATTGTTAGTTTTAGGTTTAGAATAGTTTAAAAATGATAAATTATTAATCTAAATAATAATAAGAAATAGTTTTAACTTGGTACTTGGTAACCTTCTTTGTGGGATCGACCCTATTTACTACTTACTACTAGTAATTTTATTAAGTAGGTAATTAATATTTGACTAGTGTGACGACGGCTTGTCAAATTTGGCGCCGTTGCTGGGAAAGGCATAACCAATATCAAAACTAGATTATTTCTTTTATTAATTTAGATTTGTATATATTTTTCTTTGTTTTATTAATTTTTATTTTATTTTATTTTATTTTTATTTTTAATTTTATTCTCCTTTCTTTCTTGTGTCAACATTTTTGTAGGATTTTGGAGTTATCATGGAGAATTATAACTATGGATATGGAGATGCTCCGTATTATAATTATAATTCTGAATATGGAGACTATCCTACATATCAAGAAGATTCGTACTCTTGGAACAATTCGTCTTCTGATCCCTACTATGGTTGTGATTATCAAGGATATTCATTTGATGCTGGATACAATTCTGGTTTTGAGAGCGCGTATATGAGTCCTAAGATGTTGTCATGTTTGGAGAGAATTGATAAATTGCTGGATGACATCGAGAAGAAAAATGCTTCATATTTCTCTCAAGAGGATTGTTACCACTCAAAGGCATCAGTATATCAACCACCACCTCCTCAACCCACTCTAAGAGAGTTAGCAGCTCGTCAACCTACTCTGAGAGAGCTAGCAGCCTTACAGTCATCACATTGTCAACCGACTTTGAGACAGTTAGGATCTTCGTATCAGCAGCCACCTGCTCAACCTCAACTTACTGTTAGAGAGGCAGCCCTTCGAGATTTTCAAAGTGAAAAAAGCCAACAACTTATTGAAGAAGTCAATTAATATAGGTTGAGTGTGGGGTTGCCGGAATATGATCCTATAGGAAATTTGCTTAAATTGAATAAGAATGAGAAGATTTTTGAAGATGATTCATTGGTCCAGTCTCCCCACCCGCCATCTCAAACTGAGCTTGAATGTGAAGAATTAGAAGAGACCAAAGAGATTAACAGTCTAGATATTCCAAGTTCTCCTGATTCTTCTGGTATATACATAGTAGTTAAGCATGATTCGCTCATTCTGAGAGTTGGTGACAAAAATGTGGATCAAGTTGATTTTGATGAGAATAACATTCCTATAGTTTCAAAAGAAGGGTTTGAAGTAGACACATGTAGTGAGGTTGTCCCTAGTATAAGAGATTTTGAGGATGATCTGAAAGTTGGTTCAATGAAAGACCAAGAAGAGGATCAATGGTTCAAGATTGAATTTGAGAAAGAGGATGTTGTAGTGTTGGAGTATAAGTTTATATTTTCTCATGGAAAGGAGAGCCACTACAAGAGATTCATTGTTGCTGCTGAACATGGTTTATTCTGGTATCGAGATGGGTACTCTGATAGATCAGTCCTGGAGTCCACGGCTAAAGACTTTAAAACAGCACTTATTGGGAGACAACCCAATTCTTTATTTTGCTTTATTTTTCTTTTTCTTTCATCAGTTGATGGTTAAGTTTTTTTGTTCCTGATTATCTGGAGATCTTTGATATCTGGATTTTCGTGGTTTTTCTTAATCATCTATTTTTAGGTTTGTTTTTCTAGTTTATTTTAGTTTGCAATTAGGTTTGTTGGAAGGGCGCAACTCTGGTGTCCAATGGTGCTGAAAATGAAATATCCAAAATTCTGAAGAAGTTGGTCGTGTGTTTGGATGGCAGTTGCAACAGTTTATTCAACAATTCCGGTCCTCTGTTTTGCATTCCCAAGGTTGTGTCGTTTCTTTTCATTTTTTTTTAATTTGTCTTTTCTTTTCTTTTCACTTGGTTGCTTGTTTTTTGTATCTTATACATTGAGGGCAATGTCTACTTTAAGTGTGGGGGAGGAATATGTGTTTGTTGTGTCTACTTTTCTTTAATTTTTTTTTTAAAAAAACAAAAATCCATAAAAATTGAAAAAATTGAAAAATCCAAAAAGGCCTATGATGAAGATGGTTTAATTATCTATAACATGTAAGAATTAGACTATTTTGAATTGTATTGCTTAACTTATGTATTTCTGTATGTTACTTTGAATACCCTGCTTTTTATGCACTTAGTCGTGACTGTGGGATAAGCTTAAAGTGAGACATAGTTGCATGAGTTTGATGTAGATATGCAATGAAAAGTTGTTTGATTCACTCATACTTATATGATTTGTATGTGGAACTCTTCATGTTATGAAGGAAAAGCAAGGCATTAACCCAATATCAGCCTTAAAAAATCTTATTGCTTTGACACTTTGTGTTAAGTAAGTTAGGGGAAGGGTGTTGGCGGATGCTTATGAGGTTAGGTTAATTTTAATGAGGGAGAAAAGGAAAAGCATTCAATATTGATGCTAGCCCCATTGAGAGGTGAGGAATTGGCAACCTGAGTGGAGAGTCCTCAGGCCCGGTGAGGAAAAAAGAGATATGTAGACTGTCCTAGGTTGATGAGCCACTATATATAGGAGTGGAAAAATGCTCTGGGTAGTGGCCTGGGTTGGAAAGAGTCCTGAAGAAAAGCCGCATGGACCGAAGAATGGGTTACGAGGGGGAATAGATTATCTTTGAGATAAGTACTTCTACTTCATAGTATGTTTGACGGTCCATTGCATTGAAATATGGTATGAAATGTGAGTCTGTTTTTAAAGTAAAATGGCATATTTGCAGTAGAGTTTTTGTTTTCTATGTTAAATGTAAAGTGATGTCCATAAGAAACGAATCGTACACACACACAAGCGTGGGGGCTAAAAGTGCATATGGTTTGCATTTTGTTAGGTAGTGCATATTAGAGGTAGTCGAGGTCTTTGTGTAATATGATATTAAATTTCTGAGGCCGCCAAAATTAAATAATTAACTGTTTTGTTTGTTTTAATTCTTGGACATGCTTGAGTTCAAGCAATAATTCAAGTTTGGGAGTATTTGATATGCTTATATTTTACCTATTTATTATATCTCTAATTTATGATTTTTTGCAATATATTTTGAGTACAAATATGCTATTTATATGATTTTATCTTTATTTATAGGTTTTGTACTCAAATGGAAGAATTGTTGAGATTTTGGACTAAATTGAAAAGAAAAAGAAACTCAAAGGGAGAATTGAAGATTTGATAAATTGAGAAGGAAGAAATTGAAGCACTTGAAGAGTTGGAGGAGTTTTAATTTAAATTGGCTTAAAAAAAACTTTCTTATTCCTGAAGAAATAGGGTTTGAGGAAAGCCTATAAAAGGAGGATTAGGGCTTTATTTTTGAACCGAACCTCCACCTTACGCACATCATCATCATCATCATCACACCGCTGTACCTTCCTGCCCACGCAGCCCGCAGCCACCTCTCCTCCTTGCTCCACTCTCACGCACCACTTTAATTAGTCTCCACCATTAAACATCACCGAACCACCCCTTCTCCACACATCACTTCTTCTTCACGGCTGAAAATCCTTCACCGCACCATCACACCAGCAGCCCCCTCCTCTCTGCAACACACCATCAGCCCCTCCCCCCACACCTTCACGCACAAATCCAATCACCTACGCACCATCATCGTCAAGAGGAGCAGCATTGGATCAATTTCCGAACTCAATTTTGGACTTTTCTCTCCCGGATTTCATTGTTTTATTTATTTTTGAGATGATGTGTAGCTAAATTATTTAATCTAGGGTTTTGGATGTAGCCGCCATACTATTTAATTTAATTTAAGTTATGATTGTGACTTTTTCATTAATTAATATTTATCATTCTTGTTTTTCATCCATGTGAATACATAATCAATATTTGCATGCTTTAAGGTGCTAGCTGAAGTAGCGTGAGTGGAAGGCTAGTATTAGTTTGTATGAATAATAAACTTAGGTAGTGAGCCACGAGAGTAGGAACACCGCCTTTGCGACTAGTAA